GCAAGAAGGACAACCGGACATCGTGTACGAGCAAAGGGCGAGGGACCTTATCTTCTGGTGCATTGGGTCCTTCATCTTCCCCGACCACCGGGCGAATGGCGTCCCACTTTACTGGCTCGACCTGCTGCAGGACATAGATGCTGTTAAGGGGTACAGCTGGGGTTCAACGCTCTTGGCCGGAGTGTATAGAGCGTTGTCAACCTCGTACAAGGCCAAGGAGAAGTGGATGAAGAACTGCGTTCAATTGATCCAGGTAAATTTATTTAATTGTTATTTGAAAATTTAATATTTTATTTTTTCTTACTTCGACTAATACCTAGCACCAAAATTAATATCCATTTCTGTAGGTTTGGGCATGGGAGCATATCCCTTGTATTCGCCCAATAGTGAAGACCAGTAGGTTTGATAATCTTCCTAGTTGTCCATTGGGAGCAAGGTAATCACCGTTATTTTTATTTAATCCGTACATTATTTTCATTATCAAATTTTGTGATTACAAATTTTTTTTCTGTGATTTTTTTAAGGTGGGTGGGACCGAAAAAGAAGTCCAACATAGCCAATACATTGGTCGCCTACCGGGATCAGTTGACAGGGCTGGGAGAGTATGATGTAATATTCTTAATTCCTATTACTTGATTTATCTTCCTTTTGTTGTTTCTAATTTTGTAATAACTTAATTACTAATTCAATTGTTATTTTTTTTTACAGTTCGATTGGCAGCCCTATCGACAACACCTGGAGAATGATACTCTCTCGGAGGCGTGCTCAAGAGATCCACAATTTTGGATGTACCGGGGGTGGATTTTCAGTTGGAACACCCGGGAGGTACACCTGCCTGACAGGGTCCTCCGTCAATTTGGGTGTCGCCAGTCCATCCCCCAAGATCCGATCATTCGGGATGAGCGAGACAGGGACACACACCACAGAGGTCAGGGGATGACTGGGAGGGCGTTTTATGATTGGGCCGCATTCCATGTGCCGTTTCTGAGCTTGTGGACCGAAGAAATAGAACAACGTCTCCTCTCAGTTGCCCCTATGTACGACTATCTGCAGCCGGAGCAGCATTACCTTGAATGGTTTCACAACAGGACTGTGAGATTCATCAATAGCTCTGCCAATTACCCGGTGTTCCAGCAAGCGGGCGGTTATCAGCCACTTGCCGAGCGGTTAGGCTGTCAGGTAAGTGTTCATTATTTGTGTTTATTATTATTATTATTATTATTATTATTATTATTATTATTATTATTATTATTATTATTATTATTATTTTTGTGTTTCATACTAATTATTATGAATTTTATTTACAGACTTCTGCACTACAAGGGGTTTATGGCGCATTATCCGATATTCAACCATTAATGCCTCAAATCCCTC